CAGTTCAACCCTGAGCTACACAGATTCACCTCTATTGGTACAGAATAGTTCACTGAATTATCTTTAGTATCACATTTTCCTTCAAACCAGTTCAACTCATTAGCACATGATTCTTCAGTTCTTTTGCCAGAAGACGTAATACCTAATTTGAAGACAGCTTTTCAATAACTAATCTCTCAGCTAAACTCAGTAAACTGAACTAAATAGTCCCAAATGGATTTTTTTTAAAAAAAAAAGATAATTAGAAATTTTAATTTTGGAGAGAAGAAAGCGCTTAACAGAATTTAATCTCTTGATGAGCAAGAGCAGCAGGCATAAGCTCTCCAACAAAGCAATTTTTCCATAAGCATTTGCTTTCTACAAATTGTACTTCTCCACTTCCTTGTGGATTTTCTGCACACAATAGGAAAGTTTTATAGGAAAGGAATTTTCTGATCAGAAAACCCCAACAATATTCAGTCATGAACAAATGGAAGCTTTTGTCCTAGCCACATGATTTCAAACCTTGGTTGACTTTGGTAAGGCTTTTATTTCCTTCATCAACTTTCGGACTTCAGCGGTAATGCCTTTATAATTTATCTCTTGCTCTGGGCAAACCAATCAGACCAAAACCGTTTTAGGAAGCAGAGTACCACAGGTGGTGTATAATGAAAGTCACAACTAGGGTCAACCCGCCCCCGCCCCCATCAACCCAGTTGAGGGCTCTCATCACACAAGTCCAAACTGTTCCTTAGAAACCGTAGTCTTCCCAGCCCCCGCGGTCTCCCCCTCCTCACTTTCGTGCAGAGTCTAGGAATCTCCCTGTCCTCTGCCTTGGACGCTGAGTGCAACGTCAAAAGTCCCAACATTTACCAGTTGTGTGTTGAAGAATGCTCCCCTCGCCTTGGGCCCCGGGTAAGCTCAGCCGCGTTTGAACTCTAGTAACCCCAGCACAGCTAGCTGCCAATCGAAGGCGGCCGACGCCGCCTGCCTGGCAGGCAAGGGCTGAAGGGCTTCCCGACACCAATCGGCGTTCCCGGGGGGCGGGTGGGGGACGATATTAAAAGGCTTCCCCCCTACTTAAACGGGGTGTGTGTGGAATTGTGGGGGCGTAACATTCCAAGAGCGAGAAAGGATTTTCCCGGCCTTTTCGAGACCACCCATTTCACGGGTAAAGCGGGGAGCCTGGCGGGGAGGGGGCGGAGAAGGCCCTCGCAGCAGGGAGAGGGCTGGCGATCTGCGGGCCGGGTAGCGGGGAAGGTCAGCCAACTTGGCAGGCAGCCGGGCCACGGGGGTGGGGAAAGATCGGGGGTTTAAGAAGCGTAGCGCCGAGATGGAGCAAATCCAGGAGAGGGCACAGAAGAAACAGAGGCAAGGGGCTGTAAGAAAGAGGCGCGGGGCACGCGGCTCCGGAAAGGATCGGGACCCGGCTGGTTGGTGCGGATCTCTCTAATCACCTGGCCGTGTGATGGGTCTTCACCCCAGCCGGGGCGGAAGAGGGGGTTCCTTGTTGCTTTGCCCGTCCGCTCCCGGCTTCCTTCCTCCTCCGTCTCGGCGCTGTTCCTCCAACAGCCGCTACGGCACCATGCCCGGCCTGCGCTGGGGTGGCTGCAACCGATCGCCCCTCCAGGGCAGCATCGCCGCCGCCGCCGCCTACCCGCTAAGGGCCCCAAAGCCGACCCCAAGCAAGCTCCCCTTCCCCATTAACGGACGGCCGGGGCCCCCCGCGCGTTCCTGCGTTGCGCGCTTCCCGCTCCGCTAACAACCGCCTGGATCAGGCAGCCTCCTCCGCCCCCTATCCTAGCGGCGAAGAGCGCATGCGCTCCGGGGCCATCGAGACAAAGTCGCTGGCTGCGCCGTGGCGGGAGGCGAGCGGGAGAGGGCCGCCCTCTCCTGGGGAGCGAGGCGCTTGCGGCTCTCCCTCCCCCCCCCAAAGCTTTCCCCGGCGGGCCCGGTTGCGGGGGGGGCGGTTCTTTCTGCCAAACCGGGGGGCCCGCA